ATATATATATATATATATATATATATATATATTCTAATTCAATTTAGATATATACTATAACTTAGGAAAATAATGCCCACAAATTAATTCTAAATTAAGTGCGGTATAATATTTTGGCGTCAAACTCTAGTATTTCAATGTTGCACTCATTCATCTTAAACTTAATACAGACAGCCTAATCAGTAAGTATTATTTCTGATATACGTATATTCATAAAGTGTATCAAGTTATTTAAATTCATTCATTATATTCTTTTGGCGCAAGGATGACAACCGTACTTTTTCTAAGGTTATATGATTGAAGTGTACCGTTCACAAACTTTCACCCGGTGAAAGCAAGATCGACTAAGCCGAGTCATGGAGGAGTAAATTATTTACTCTGACCCCACTAATAAAACTCTTCAGGTAAGCGAATTTAATGTTTATAAAACAAATTCTAGTTACCACTAACTTATTTACGAACAGTAGATTATCGATTTACGTAAAAGACACCCCAATGCAGTTTCGCTTTTGATACTTTGAAGGTGAAACTATTGTTTTATATTTAAAAGCCATATAATAAATATATCAAAATTGATATTTTATTTGTGATCTCATATTTTCTTCTGGACAATAGAAACATCAATAGTGCGCCCCCTATATGCGATAACTGCGTACGAGCAATTACTGTTAATGGATACCGTATTACTACAATACATCGACTGCTTTCAATTTCAGATATTACATATTGCAGAATTGTTCGTGGTTTTTGTCGTTGTTTTTAATTTGAAAATCAAATATCTTCGTTAATTCCAACGAATGTTATCATTCACAGTACTTTAATTGCAAGTCGAGTTATATGAAATAATAAGGAAATCCATTTTGCGAATCCATGCCTGTACTCATTTCACCAGCGATATATCGTTGCTAGCCTAGCTAATACAGTAATTATCGAGGTCCAAAAACAGCTAACCTTTACTTTAAACTAAAAGTATAGAAGTTGAACCAAAGTTCCTATTTGCTGCAAATTATCAATCATAATTTCCATGGATCATCCCAACCCCAGTTTAAAAATGGTCACCTAATATTCACGTGGTACAACATATTATAAGTTCAACGAGCGCCCCTCGCTATCAACTAAACCATTACCTGCTTTATTTTCCAGCCAATCACAAGGCATTCAGGCTCAACGTCATCATATGTGAATATCAGAAGACTGCCGCTTTAAGTGTATAATTGTGAAAATGCTGAGAGTTGTGCGCCGCTATACAAATAAGGAATATGAATTATTAAAAGAAATATAGTAGAATTGCTATGTAGCATTTGTGACTTAAGTAGATTTGTGTAGGCCCTATATATACAATATGTCGCCTCATGGCTTTTGAAATACAATTAATATGTATCTCGACCATTCAATCAACTAAACCAGCTTTTGTCGGTACGCGTGAGAATGTTTTCTAAACAAACACCATAAATATAGGCCCTACAGATCTATAAGGTATGATCAGCGAATAAAGGAAGGCAAATTTGATATAAATTAAAGCTGATTCAAAGAGTCTGGCGTTTTTGATCAAGGCTTCAAATTAATCCAAAACCATTCGTCTTCAACTAATAGGAAAGGGAATTTTACTTAAACGATTGTCGGTTGTCTTATTCATCATCTACATTTTATATTAGTACATTAAAACAAGAATAGAAAGCATTTCATCCCCAAGAGCCATAAGGGCTACATGTAAAACAATATTTAAATCAACCGTGTGATATGTTTAGAAATGTATATCTTCGTAACTACTACGTGAGTGGACTAATCAACATTAGGTATTTTTAAAATTCGAGTAAGTCTTTTTTTTTTCATTGTTTACCATACTTCAAAACATTCTATTCCTTCAATAAAAAAAAACAAAAACAAATAAAAGATTTAATGAAAATAAGCTACGCAGGCAGGTTGGCAGATTGAATTTTGCGAGTGAAATATAATTATGTTATTGATATGTAAATCATATTTTTGGTTCATTTATTGATAGATTGATTGATGAGTGTTATACTATTTTGTCAATTGAGATGGACACATTATATATATATATATATATATATATATGTATATATATATATATATATTAAAAAGAGGGAATATGAAGTTTAAAATGACTCCATATAATGACCAGTAAAGTTATGTCGCGTCAATTAATATTTATTGTAAATTTGGCATTTTATAACTAAACAAAATACGTCACCACTGCTTATACAGTAGGTATAATGAATCAAAGGTGATATCTGACATTTATCTTGTTCCTAATGAGTAAACTCATTGCGACATGCTCTCCAGAAGGCGATACTAATTACGACGATGTAGGCGACGATGACGACGATGATGATGGTGACGCAGTAACAATTATTATGGGAGTATTCTTAATAATAATATTAAGAATGAGAATAATTATTAATATTATTATAAAGACAAATTTGAAAATATTAGTTGTAAGCCTTGTAATTATCTAGTAGTTTAGCACATCATCCATGAGCTCCTTGACTGGCCTTCCTCTAATCAACACGCTTACGATATTGGTACAGAACAATAAATGCGTTACTATTAGTTACCATTCTCATTACTGTTTTATTTATCACGCTTAATAATTTTATAGTGTACATACCTTTTAATAAGAACGTCAACACTTAACTCCAATGAGGTTAGTCGGTGGTAGTATCTCGAACACTAGGCGCGTTGTTTGTTATATCCACTCTAATTGAGAGAGTCCGGAAAAAACTGAGTGAGGTTTATATAGGCGAACGTATATATAGCTGAATGCTGTGTGACAAGAGATACGGCAAAGCCGAGTGTTTATCCGGATTGGCGCTTTCGTTTGTGATTAAAACAACGGGATTCGCTACTGTTAAGTCCTTCATGATTGACGCACCGTTTCATCACGTGATTTATTTCTTGCTGGGCGTCGCAAAATGCCAATCACTGTCATTGCACGATTCTTTCACAAATTGGAAATTAATTATATCAATTGGTCACCTGAGTTCTCATTGCTGGAGTTTCCTGCAAATTGATTTTTGAGGGAAAATATTAATTTACATGCGTGACAGCAGACGTTCGAATAAAAGCAGTCAATCAATGCGAAATATATGGTTCAAAAGTAATTATACCAAATCTTAGAATCAAAACCATGAAGCCAATCTAGTTAATTTATACATCTTAGAGCTAAGCATTTAGCCTAGAAGTATTGTCCCTGCTTAGTGTGCTGAAGATGCCGGTTCAAACTTGGCCAGCGTCAGGTTTTAATTGGAATCAGATCACTCTGCTCCTCGAATAACCCTCGCATAATAAATTTACATGAAGATGGGAGCTTAGTCGTCATTTAATGGTATTGATTCCTGGGTAAGGTGGTTCACTAGAGCCTATCTGAAGATATTTGCTCAAAAATTCCAAACTATAAAATCTATCCACCTCACCACACCCCAGTTACTGTCACGCTGTTGAAATTGATAAACAAAACAATATAGAGGAAGCCTGAAGCAAAGATAGAATGATTGTATTAAGGAAGATGACAGCGACAGAAATTATTATATTAAAGAAAGACATGAGGTGTCACTTTGTGATAGCTTTTGCTATCAGAGAACGCTAAAAGGTCAGGAAAGAATGCAATATGGAAAATAAATAACTAATACAAAGTTAAGTCAGGTAAAACGTAAATGTGTCGGGCATATATGCCCTGTCTCTTATACACATCTAGATGTGTATAAGAGACAGATATATATTGGTACAGTATACTGTATTAGCGTTAAATTAAACACACAAGAGTCATAAAATGTATTTGTAGCCACCTAATTTTGTTTTACGTTGGGATTGATTACTTTATGATTTTTTTTTTCTGGTAGTAAAATGTTTGTAAAGCAGCACAAAGTGACTTGTTTTAGCTGTCTGAAGTTGATAACTTATTTAGGTACTTTAGCCACATAGGTCAACTTCAAAAAATTCATCTGGTTCCAAGGTAAAAAAGAATTCTTTTACAAATGAATGAACTATTACAAAACTTTGAGCTAACAAGATTGATCAGATCAGAAATACAAGGATTTACTTATCCCTAAATTATAGTCGTGTTTTGGTTTGCTATCATTCTGAAGAAAATTTTGTTGGAAAACATTAAAATTAAAAGAAGCAATCTGTTTTTACCTATATCAGTATTCTAAGAATTGGTTTTGAAAAGAAATTCAAACATAGCAACGGTAAATTTAACGAGTAAGAGATAAAAGTAAATATAACTTAGACCTACATACAGATAAACGAAATAGCATTAAGCAAAATAAGATAATATATATGCACATACTCTAGTTTTTCGTAAAAGGTCGCAACTATGACCTCAGGCTAATACAATGTAAATGCAAATACTGTAACTGGTATTAAGGACAATAATAAGAAAATATGTCTCCTAAGACTACAATACTATTATAACAGTAAAAATGTGGAAATATTGTCAATAAAAATACAGAAACCAGTCTGAACCCATCACGAAATTCGTAAACTTGTTGCAGGTAGATCCATCCTTCCCCAGTACAGCATTAAAATTAAAAACAAAAATAAAACAAGCTATTTTCTTTACTAGACTACAATAGATTTTGGATGTTAAAATTTGTTTCTTTGTACTGAGGATAAGTTGAGTTAACCCAAAACATTTCTACTATTTTATTTTTTATATAACTAAGATAATTAAAAATAAATTGATATTAGTCCTGCACTTTCAGAGTCATAATTTTCTAACATGAGCAAATTAGGCAATTATACTGGAAGCAATCATGCGAAACACTGATCAATTTTGTATGCTACGCCCACGTTTTAACCATCTGAAATAACAAGAGATGGTCTAAAGATATGTTGCATTTATATATAGTATTTTATCTATATAATTATAGTTTGGACGAAATATAATATGAATATTCATATACTCATATGCTAATATTGAGTGACTAATGCTTTATGCTCTGCCCATACTATCAAATTTTATGTGACAAATAAATGTGATATGCCCACATTTGAGTGTAGTGTGACATCATTAGGCCCATATACGGGCACATCACTCAAATTTCGCACTAACAAAAGACATTGTTGTCCGAACAAATGTCTTTTGTTAGTGCGAACGACATTTGTTGTCCGAACGTTTTGGCTCTCCCTGATGCAACTTATTTAATTTTAATTCAAATACCAATTTTAAGACAGTGGCACACGCTCTCTGTGTGCGTTCAGGGAAAGTAACAAAACATAGAAAAAATACATAGAAAAAGACTATGGCGTTAAAATATTACATACAATATATAAATGGTGAAAGTAGTAGCGTAGCAAATGGAAATTAGAATACTGTATTTGTCTATTTCGTATTCTCTGTAGCCAAAACAAAAATTAAATGCAAAAACCGTCCAGTGACACATTTGCCAACCATATTCGTATCAGTACTTACATTTATAACACTTGACAATTCCACACATACAGGTTAATATTTAAATTGTCAAAAGCTGGCGCTACATTACACTTTTTTTTTATTGTTTTATTGGTATAACTTGATATCTTGAGGCAGACAAAAAACAGTGTGCTGTATAAGATTATGTACCTGGACTACATTGTTCAGCCTAGTCTATAAAAGTAATCAGCGAGATTGATTGTTATTTAATAAGAATTTTTGATGAGAGATCTAGATCTGTATAACAAATGCGCAATATATTTGAAAAGCATTAGGATTGCTCTAAGATGCCAGCAATTATCCCTTTCATAACATTAATTCGCCGATTCTCAAAGTTCGATCAATTCTATCATGAATTTTCATCATCTCTACTGTAGTAATGACGTTTAAGAAAGTATTTTCGAGTGCCTGCGGCCCCATTGCGCAGTGGAGTTTATCTGGATAATTGTAAAACATTTGGTTGTTTAAGGGTTGATTGTGAAACATTAGTTTTTGGTTTATTTATTTTTTGTTTCTTTTTTATTTATTTTATTTTTATATATATTTTGTCAGTGGTATACTGCCATTTATATCAAATATAAACTTGGAAAGAGTAATAAAAATCGAATTTCTTTATTTGTGATTTAATAACGTTATCGGTTTTCAGCTAAATGTTTAATAACATGAAAATATGTTTGATAATTAAAGGACATTTATATAAGATAAGATAAGATAAACTTTTATTTGTCCAAACATTAAAACATAAATAAATATTGTAACATTACTTCTTATTCTTTCGGCAGCAAATTATAATTTTTTGGCAGTAAAATGTCTGTAAAGCATCGACGCATGGTTCAGATATCTGAAACAATAATAATACCAGGGAACAGTTAAATTACTGTTCCCTGATAATACATATTACATGTTGAATATTGCGTGGGCGTAATGTTATCATTGTTAGTCAGCGCAAGTAGTAATGTTTGGACATTAGATGTTGAGTTATACAGTGTCTATTTTCATACCGTACCGTTACATTTACCCATAGGCCTATTAATTTAGGCCTACAGCAGCAAAACTAAATAATATATACGATTCACACAATCAGAATGTATAATGTTTACACAAACTGAAAGAAGTCCGTGCATTCAACTATATTGACAATCACCACATCCCCACATGTGTCTCTAGGCCTACATCGTGTCTCCCTCCTACGAGCAACTGAAAACAAATCTGGAAATCTCTCTACAATAAGATATAGTTGGATATTTTCAAAAAAATTATGAAAGTTAAATGAATTAAAAGAAACAATCCAATTCTATGTTTGCTGATTCGCATTCATTTATACTACGAAAATCTTCAATTTCAATATTCAGAGCAACATCTATCAATTTCCTTTCCAGAATATACAACAGAATATCAAATTCTATTACAAGCAGCAATTATGTAAGATTAGATGTAGCCTGTACATATTTATTCTGGATGACAAAAGCTTAAAATCAAGTCAATTATAAAATACTGAATGTGTGAAATTAGTGCTACATTGTGCAGATTTAACCGTTTATGGGTATTTTAAACAAAATATCCATCATTATAGCAATGAGGAGCATTATATGAATATATGTGATAAAGAGAATCTGAATTTACGTCATCATAATACATTTTAACATCCGGGAATGATAACAACACATAAGTCCAATTGTCTTATTGGTTCAATCAGCCAAATCATTTGTACAATATAGCCTACATCCAGGTAGTGATCTAAAAAATCTCGAAAAGAAAAATATCATAAAATCAGGCTCCGAATGAAAAAAAATTATTGTTGTACAACTGATTTTTCTAAGAAAATAAGATTTAGATTGATAAAGATCTCATTGATAATGAGATTTTTGAATACAGTATTTAAAAATTGGGGGGGGGGGGGAACGGGCGTAACCACTCTGTTTTCCATCTTTTCCCCCAGTTTTTATATATCAAAAATTCTGTATCTCATTAACCGTTCCCATGTTTTTCGTCAAATATACTTTTTGTGTCTTAAAAAACCAGTAGTACAACATAGGCCTTTCAAAGCGATTTTTTCCTCTGGAGCCTGACTTTAAAACGCTCATTAGCTTACCGACTGATTATATACTTTGAGGCACAGGTGACAAAATGCGGCCCACGGGCCGCATGCGGTCGGACAGCGAATTGTTTGCGGCCCGCGAAAATGAATTGAAAACCCTAGGTTTGCGGCCTGACAAGCAACATTGGCTCGAAAACACCTTGTTTTTTACTGCCCGACACCGATCATCTGTAAAAAGCAATATTAAAACTGGAAATAAAGTGGTGTAAAATCAATGCTAGGAGGTTTTTGAAAACACACTGGAAAATAGGTGCGGCCCTTGGTGTTCAATAAAAAATTCCATTTGACCCTCCG